GAGCCAATATGTTTTAACTGCATTAAATGGCATGGCTTTTTATATTTCACCAGAAATTAACCTGTAGATCACTCTCCTGATAGAGTCTACCAGGGTTACAGGCCACCAAATACTGGTATTTACTCCATATGTCCATGATCAGTCTTCACATACCACCTTCAATAGTGACACAGAGAGGGGGCCCCCACTGAGAGTCACCACCCCCCTCACTGCTCTGGGTGGGGCTGTCACTGGGAAGGGCACAGCATGAACCATCACACAGCTCTGGCACTTGCTGGCCACGTGGACTTGGGCAAATCATTTAACCCTCAAGCCTCATTTGTCTGGTCTACAGAATACAGATAGTGATATTCTCTTTACGGAGGGTTTGAATGATTCAAAATAACAAATGTAGCCTAGGGCCCAGCACCTAGGATTTCCATAACACTTGTTGTGGCTCTGGATAAGATGAGGACGAGGACTGGTCTACAGAATACAGATAGTGATATTCTCTTTACGGAGGGTTTGAATGATTCAAAATAACGAATGTAGCCTAGGGCCCAGCACCTAGGATTTCCATAACACTTGTTGTGGCTCTGGATAAGACGAGGATGAGGAGAATGACAATCGTGATCATGGTAATGATGATGAAATTTTCTCAATAACAGATGCAGGATTTTGTGCCATGCCCACCTACGTGGTGCTAGCAGGCTGCTTACTAACAATAGAGACGTAAAGATAAAACATGCATGGACCGAGTAGATGAGCAAAGGGGAAACCAGTTCCCAAACTCTCAGCCCCTGAAAGAACAGGCACGACATGGTCTGTGGGAATGCTACATCCCAGGAGACGTGGCCTTCCTGTGTTGCACAAACTGCTTGGACATATCCCATTTTCTCTACTTTAGTCATCTGTCTGGGTGCGGCATGGACCGAGTAGATGAGCAAAGGGGAAACCAGTTCCCAAACTCTCAGCCCCTGAAAGAAGAGGCACGACATGGTCTGTGGGAATGCTACATCCCAGGAGACATGGCCTTCCTGTGTTGCACAAACTGCTTGGACATATCCCATTTTCTCTACTTTAGTCATCTGTCTGGGTGCATGTCCTGGAGGGTCATTCAAGAATACAGTTTTCAAGACTTTCTGTTGGCCTCTCTTTTTTTTTTTTTTTTTCTTCCTTTTTGTCTTTTTTTACTGACCGGTAACGGGATCGCAACCCTCGGTGTCACGCCCGTACTGGGGACCGGCAACGGGATCGCAACCCTCGGTGTTGCGCCCGCACCGTGCTCAGCCAGTGAGTGGAAACCAGTCTCCACATGGGATCCAAACCCTCGGTGGGAGCGCCGCCGCGCTCCCAAGCAGTGCACTCTCCAGTGCGCCACCGGGCCGGCCCTGTTGGCCTCTCTTTGTAGAGTCTCCCAGGTGGCACCTACCCAGCAGCTGACTGTCAGCAAGCCAGCCTAGAGAGGACTCTGCTCAGGAGGTATTCTGGAATCTCTGAGATAAAAAGAATCAGATTCAGGAACTATGAAGTCTGAAGACCGCTGATAGCATGTGTCACCACGGGAGGCTGTCAAGAATGTCTCAGATAAAATTCCAGTTCCAGACAGGAAAATACAAACAGTTCCTTGGAGTTTTAATGAGCATCGCCCCGGTCTGAGAACTCGCATTAAGGCTAACAAGCTTTGTCAAGAGTGAAGGTCTGCAGCTCACCCTAGAAACATTGTGTAGATTGTGCGGGGACAGACTGTGGTCATTAAGTCAATGAGCTGAATTTATAAATTTCAAGCATGAATTCTATCACAGGAACAGAAGTGTTTTCCTGTCACCTGACAAGAAACATGGTCCACTGGAGATTAGTTTCTGGGAGAGCAAGCACGTCAGCACTGGGGTGCGTGTGCATGTGCACAGATCACACACGCCAGGCAGTGGCCCCAGGGATCTGTGGCTTTGTGCTTTATGACCGAGAAGCCCAGGGTAACGTGGAGCTTCTCTCTTGCAAATTTCACCTCATGCAATGAGAGCAGCAATGTCTTTAAGCTTGAAGGGACCTTCAAGAACACCCAATCCACCCCCACTCTAGTTCCCCAGGCAATCAGCTCAGGAATCAGCGCTGCTCGTCCAAAGTCACTCAGCTATGAAATAACAGACCGGCGACTCTCCCAAAGGTGCTCAGGACTTGCCAACCCCTGTGAATATCGCACTCTTCAAGGGATAGAACAAGGTCACATGATTTAGAGCCACTCAGGTGCTACACATGTGAGTTTGGGGATATAGGGTTATTCTGAGGGATGCTGGCCTATGGGAAGTAGAATCCACTTATACTATTTGCCTAAGAAAATCCCTCACAGGCGTAGTCATC